GATTCTTTTTGCTTCAGCCTCCCAAGTAGCTGGGACTACAGGTGCCTGCCACAATGCTTAACTGTTTTTTTTGTTGTTGTTGTTGTTGCAGCTGTCATTGTTGTTTAGCTGGCCTGGGCTGGGTTCAAACCCACCACCCTCGGTGTATGTGGCTGGCGCCATAACCACTGCTACGTGTGCTGAGCCTTGAGTTCTTCCTCACACATTCATTTTATTTATTTATTTATTTATTTATTTTGGATGGGGCTGGGTTTGAACCTGCCACCTCTGGCATATGGGGCTGGCGCCCTACTTCTTTGAGCTACAAGCACCACCCTCAAACATTCATTTTTGTATGAAGTAGGGTATTACATTAGCATTGATTGAAGGGAGAATCATACATATCCTTGATATAGTTTATACATGTAATAGTTGATTATTAAGTTGATACAAGTGTGGGCTAAACCCTGTGTTACAGGCATTCACAGAAGTGTGTGTTCCTTATGGCCTAATAGGGAACAAAGATAGATTAGATGTGGGACTTCAGTAAAACTCTCTGGGATTTGGCCTTACCACACAGGAAGGAATTGGAAGTAGAACAAATGGCATCAGCAAATGTACAGTAAAGTAAAAAGGTGTGAGGTCAGGGAGCAGTTAACACAGTTTGTGAGAATACTTACTACAGAAAGTGGGAGAAGGCTGTCTAAATCCCAGATTACTGAGCAGTATCAGTGAGCCGTTGTGATTTCTTGTATAGAGAGGTGATGCATTGAAAATGGTTTAGATGTATCAGTCTGACAGAGAGCTTAAATAGTTAACACCAAGAGTTACAAGGAAATCAATGAGGGTAGGTAATATTGTGTAGGTAATGCAGTATCACAAGAGTTTCTTTTTTCCACCCTTTCCCAATAAAGGATATACACCACAAAGTATTGTCTCTGAACTTCAGTGAATGTCACACTAAAATTCGTCACGTGGACGCTCATGCAACCTTGAGCGATGGAGTGGTTGTCCAGGTCATGGGTTTGCTGTCTAACAGTGGACAGCCAGAGAGGAAGTTCATGCAAACCTTTGTTCTGGCTCCTGAGGTAAGTTTTCATTTCATGGAATTTTATTTATATGATTTAATTTAGCTATTAGTTTAAGTGTCCCAAGAGTTTCTTCTAATAGGTATACATTTGCATATTGCTGTTTTTGAGAAATTTTTGTTGAGCTTGTTATCATTTGAATATGTGCGTATGTGCATTTGTATTTGATTAATGGAATTAAAAGTTAGAAACTGATACAAGTGTGTATAAATGGATGATTAAGATTGCAGAAATAATACAAAAGGTATATTGGTATATTTTAAAAGGTAATTTTTGAAAACAATACGGAAAAGGTCTGAGTTCTGTTCTCTTCTGTTGAGTAGCTATTTCTTGAGTTCTCATGTTTTTTGAGTGTGTGTTTGTTTTTGTTTTGTTTTGTTTTTTGAGACATTCTCACTCTGTTACCCTGGGTAAAATGCCAAGGTGTTGTAATAGATCACAGCAACCTGAAACTCTTGGGCTCAAGGGATCCTCCTGGCTCAACCTCCTGAGTAGCTGTGACTACAGGCAAGCACCACCAACCTTGGCTATTTTTTAGTAGAGACGGGGTCTTGCTCTTGCTCCAGCTGGTCTCAAAACTCCTGAGCTCCAGCAATCCACCCACTTGGCCTCCCAGAGTGCTAGGATTATAGACATGAGCCATCACATCCAGTCTTGAGTGATCCTTTTTATATTAACATCATAGCATATTCAGCTTTCGAAAATTATATTGAGTTGAGATTGTTTCTCTAGTATTGAAATCTAAAATTTATAGGTCATGTAATTTGTTTTTATGTAATACCAAATTCATGCTCATTTATGAAATACTTGCATGTTTTCCTATAGGGATCTGTTCCAAATAAATTTTATGTTCACAATGATATGTTTCGTTATGAAGATGAAGTATTTGGTGATTCTGAACCAGAACTTGATGAAGGTAAGGTTACATTGAAAATAGAAGGGCTTTGTCAGTATTCTTTAAGGACAGTTTAATATCTACCCCCCCCCCAAAGACAGCTGTCCCCCTGGGTAGAGTGCTGTGGCATCGCAGCTCACAGCAGCCTCCAATGCCTGGGCTCAAGCGAGTCTCCTGCCTC